TCATTCGCTTAGCTATTCATTTATTTATTCGTTTATTCGTTTATTCGTTTATTCATTAATCCATTTATTCATTTTTAAATTTTATTTATTTATTGGGAGTTGGGGTTGGAGGTTGAGGGTATCACTCGTACAGAGAGTTGACAGGGAAATGCAGGTTGTAAGAGCAGTCGATAATGCGGACCTGGATGGGACAAGCCTTTTTTAAAGGCTTTTTTTAGTTTTCTTTTTCTGTGTGTATGTGTGTGTGTATGCATGTGTGTGTGTGTGTCTATGTGTGAGTGTGTGTGTGTGTGTGTGTGTGTGTGTGCGTGTGTGTGTGTGTGTGTGTATGTGTGTATGTGTGTGTTTGTGTGTGCATGTGTGTATGTGTGTGTGTTTGTGTGTTTTGATGGTGTGGTCAGTTGTACAGCAGGTGTGGGATGTAAAGACAGTTCATGATGCGTTCCCTTGATGGGACAAGAAGTGTTTTTCTTTCTAAGGGTTTTTAAATCATTAATCAGTTTTTGGAGGGATTAATCAGTTTTTTTGGGTTGCTTTTTTTTTTTTTTGGGGGGGGGGGTTGGGGATGGAGATAGGGGTGGGGGTTGGAGGTTGAGGATGTTCACTCGTACAGAGATTAGGGGATGTACGGACAGTAAACAGATCTAATGTCTTTTGTGTGCAGCAACCGAATAACCACTGTACCACTGATGCCGGTCAAACCAAATTTCTTGTCCTAGCCATTTTCATCAAGTGTTCTATCCCATGGGTGGTTGGCGGGTGCAGCTGCTCTAGTGCGGTTAGCTCCTTCTTTCCTATCAAACATCTATCGTCCTTATCTCTCCTCCTTCTTTTCTGTGTATGTTACTTTTTGGTAACAGCTCTTATCTTCGGCACTGATATGATCAATTTCAGTTGCAAGCGAAGTAAATCTCTCACTTGAATTTAAAAATAAACTAAACTGAACTCTCAGTTTTTCTCCTTGTCAAATAGTGATGTTGTAGTTGTGGAAAATGTACGAGGTTTTGTCTTTTCAAACTGCGAGGTCTTGAGAAATAACGAGAAGGGCGAGCTGATAAAGGAAGTTAGATTCTGTAATTTGAATTTCAATTGTTAAACCTGAAACTATTACAGGGCTCCGAACTTTCACGAACACATATAATGATACAGCGCTCACTCCTCCCCGTTCCACAAACACACGCACCCATAAATACAGGTGTGCGTGCGTGCAACATACACTAACATATACCCACAAACACACTCACACACAACCAGATACACTTACATACAACCCTTCCACATCCCACTCATAAACATAGATGGGAGAAGATGGAAGGCGGACAGAGAGCAGGTCTTTGTATGTGGTCTTTAATT